ATTTTATTTCTGAGATTTTTTTACCTGCTTTACTGTGATTACCTGAAGTTGTATTCTTTACCCTACAAACAAATTTTCCCCCATACCAATTTTGCTTGCTTCAAACATGTATGCCTCAAGAACAGTTTCACCTTGATTCCTCTGAGTCCTGAATCAGAAGTTAGTGATCTTCAGCAATCAGGTCTGATCCTCATGTTCGGGAACTACCAAGGACAGTGACAAGACATCATATTGTTGGGGGGTCTCATCGGCTCTGCTGAAAAAACTGGAAGGGAGACTTCCCATGCCTGGCACTGGGCTTTTTGTTAGTCTGGGGCTCTTCACAGAGCATTATCACATTACCCCACTGTGTTCCCTTTTACCAACAGTTCATTAGAGCGATTGTCAGAGCTCCAGGATCTGTAGGTCCTCAGAAATCTCAGGACAGAAGACCATGAGATGTTCATCCACTTGTGTGGCCAAACACATACAGATTCTGATGAAGTTCTGACAGGCCTGAAGACCCTTTCCTTGAGGACAGAGAGGAGAAGTAGGGCGAAAGTACAGACAGGCTTCTCCTGCTCTCAGAAAGATCTGCTCAAACCCTAGAGGGAGAAGGAGAGGATGGACTTTACCCATCTGATGGATATTTAGGTCCCTTTAGTAGAGCACATGACCTAACTCATGTTGTGAGCCCAGCATCATCCTAAAACAATATACAGACAAAAAAAAGTGCAAGAAAATAAAGTGCAGCCCAATACTGCCCATGAACATAGATGAAAATCCTCAACAAACTTCATCCTGTGTCATGTAATATAATTGTATCAGGCAGAGACTACATGTATGATGGAGATCCCACAAGACCACATGACCCTTGACATCATATCCATGTGACTTTTTATAAGTGCATTCTATGATGTTTACATGATGAAAAGTTGATTAAATGTGTATTTATTGAATATATTCCATTGTTACTCATATAAATTTATTCTAATGATTTTATAAAAATGTAAACAGCATGAACAAATGAGGTTTCACAGTTATCTGAGCCTGGTTCAATATTAAAAATCCAGCTTTCATAGTATTGGAAGCTGCTGTGCAAGCTTCCAAGGGAGAACAGCAGCATCTTACCCGGCTGTAAGGCCTATGAACCACAACACTGACCAGCCAAGCAAGATATCCCTGACGGTGCAATAGAGGCTCTTGTACTGGGGCAATAAACAACTCTCTTATTGGACTTAAGGTCAGCTGATGGGAGGAAATTCAGGTCTGGTATTGCTAACCTCACCAAATGCCCAATGCTGAAGAGGTCATAGATGTTAGAGGAGAAGCTACCAGTGCCGCATTCCTACACCAATGTAATTTAACTGTGTTCTAAATATCCTTATGCCCACAGAGGAGTACAGCTCTAACTCTTCATCAAGAGGCATCTATTTGAAACATATGGAGACTATGACAAGGATCCACATATAATTGAAATGCAGAGGATGAATGCCCTTAGTGTGCACAGTTCCAGGTTCTATGTGTACAGTGCAAGTTCTATGCCCAAAGTTCATGGAATGTCAGCTGAGATACCAGGAAGATTGCAAGACCAGGACACCTGCTGCTGGGTAGCACCGTTCCCACATGACAGGGAAGCTACACTCACAAAATCTCAACAATGTGGTTTCCTAAATAAACCCTGTGTAACGACAAACCAGTTGACATGCCAACGTGGATGGGAAATTTCATAACATCCCCACCTCTCAGTGAGGAGCTACTGGAAGTTAATGGCTGATGAGCGATGGAGAATCAGACGTGTCCAGGGATGAGTCCCATAATAGATTATCCAGTCCCAAGTGTTCAGGCCTAAGCACATGTACATATAAGCAACACTAAATGGGCTCCCTAGGTTATACATGTATATCACATATGTGATATATATGTAACTATAATAATTAAAGAAGAGGTCATGGATTTAAAAGGGAATAAGGAGAACATGGGAGGAGCTGAAGGGGGAGAAAGAGGGGAAATATAGCTATACCCATGCAGGAGAGTCTCCAAAAATTTAAATGTTGAAAAATAAATACATAAGTAAATTTTACAAAGAGGCAGTGGGCTGGGGATCTCACATGGACACAACCAGCCCATAGACTACAAGGGCCATGTCTATTGATGCTATGTCCTGACACCTGAAGACATGAGGACAGTTCATGCAGATATACGTGTTCTGGGGAGATGCTATATCTGTAAGAAGAGACATCAACCAAATGTGGACCTGACAACCCAAAACACAGTAGGGTCATAGAACAGAATCAGGAATTTGAAGACTACCTGGCCTTCTTCAGCCACCAGGGAAAAAGGTATTGAACCTCTCTCACTTGAGAGAGAAAGAGAGAGAGAGAGAGAGAGAGAGAGAGAGAGAGAGAGATTGATTTTGGATCTTGCCCAAGTATCAACACTAGGGAAATACAAGCCAGTCTTCTGGGGCAGACAGCTCCCCTTCCTGTGGGTGATAAAGTCACATCTCATGATAGGAGGGAGGTCACAGGGTCCAACAGTCCACCCACTATGCCTCAGCTCATTTAGCAAGGGGCCAGCCATCAGCAAGGTTAACCCACAGAGAGAAGATGCCATGGCCCCCACCCTAATAGCCCTGCTCTGCCTTGGTAAGAATGTGGAGATGCGGAGGAAACAGCCTGGTCTGGGAGCTCCCCCCCCATATCACCATGCCTCAGGTGCTAAGAAGGCACCTAGGAGGAGGATCTACCCAAGTTTCAAGATGCAAATCTCTCACAGGAAATTCTCTTCCAGGACTGAGTCTGGGCTTGAGGAATCCAGCGCTGGCAGGTGAGTGCGTCCCCAGCTGCCCCAGGTCGTTCTTCCTCACTGAGGACAAGGGTCCAACCCTTGACAGCGGGGATGGAGGACAACAGGTGCGGGCTGGTGATGGGAATGCCTGACAGGTCCTGGGGTGAGAAAGGGAATCTGAGGAAGGATGTCATGGGACCAAGCCTCTGATTTCCTAACAGGACCCTTCCCAAGGCCCAAACCAGGGCTGAGCTAGGCTTGGCAGTCAAGAAAGGCATGCAGCGAACATCTCCTGTGAAGGAACCACAGGTGCACAAGAGTTTCATCTCTATAAAGCTGAAAGCCAAGTTCCCTGGATCAGAGAGGAAACACAGGAGCTGAGCAATAAATTCATTTTTTTTATTCCACTCATTTCATGTAAAAATGCAAGACAATATCAGACCCTTGCTGGTTGGTCACAGTGGAATGAAATCTGGAATGAAATTAATCATCTGTTGCTGACAGGTGAGGGGACACTTTTGGGTCCCGGCTCCAGGCTCTGCACTTGGTTTGCTCATGAGGTATCCCCTTCTCATATCCCTACATTAGGGGTCCATAGGTGAGGTGTGACCACATTTAGCAGACTTCCTCCTTCTGCCTTAAGATTCTACAGCAAACCCAGCCTGTCAGCCTGGCTCAGCAACAAGGTGACCTCAGGGGGCAGCATCATCCTCCAGTGTGTCTCAGAGCAGCACTATGATAGGTTCATTCTGACCAAGGAAAGGAAGGAGAAGCTCTCCTGGATACTGGACTCAGAGACTATGTCCACTGGGAAGTCCCAGGCCTTGTTCTCTCTGGACCCTGTGACCCCCAGTAGCAGGGGATGGACATTCAAATGCTATGGCTTTAACTTGATCAACTCCTGGGAGTGGTCAGCATCCAGTGACCCCTTGGAGCTCCTGGTCTCAGGTGAGGAAATCTCAGACTTTCAATTCTATGGCATTGAACCTGACACAGCTTCCCTGGGGAGGCCCTGGTGTGTGACAGGTGAGGGGAGCCAGGGCCCATCAGCCCAATAGCACATCATATATTCCATGAGAATCAGTGAAACCAGGAAGGCAGAAACCAGTTGAAGACACTGAGAGAAAAACCAAAGAGATCCTAGGAAATATTGGGTCTTCATGTGATTTCACTGGTTCTAGCACACTTAATGATCAGATTAAGTGTTATCTTTGATTATGATTCCTTTGTACCACTGTTAAAAACATATCTACCTTCTCATCTACAATCTTTGCAGGGACAGTCCGCAAACAATCTATCTGGGTTGATCCAGGCTCTGTCATCACCACAGAAAGTCCCGTGACCATCTGGTGTCAGGGGACCATGGAGGCCCAAATATACGTTCTACAAAAAGAAGGAAGCCCGGCACCCTGGGACACACAGACCCCACAGGAGCCCAGAAACAAGGCCAAGTTCTCCATCCCATCCATAATGCAGAACCATGCAGGGCTGTATCACTGCTAATTTCACAGGCCTGCTGGCTGGTCAGCAAACAGTGACACCCTGGAGCTGGTGGTGACAGGTGAGGGGACACTCTGGGGTCTTGGTCACAGTCTCTTTTCTCAAGAAAAATGATATAATACTAGTGATGTCCTTACAGGCAAGTTACAGCACAGTCCTGGGGAATAACAAAGGCTTTGTAAGCCCATTTGACAACCTGCCTTCTTCTCCCCTAGGAGTCTACAGAAAACACAGCCTGTCAGCCCTGCCCAGCCCTGCTGTGACATCAGGAGAAAATGTCACCCTTCGGTGTTCCTCAAATGAATATGACAATTTCATTCTGATCAAAGGTGATATGTTCTCCAGCCCACAAGACTCACAGCATATAAAGTCTTTGAGGCAGAACAAGGCCCTGTTCTCTGTGGGCCCTGTGACCTTCAGACATAGATAGATATTCAAATGCTTTGTCTATGAACTGAGCACACCCTGGCTGTGGTCAGAACCCAGTGTCCCCATGGAGCTCTTAGTCTCAGATGAAGTCCTGGCCTTTCCCTTCAATGGTATCAGACCTGACACAGTTTCCTAGGTTAGGCCCTGGTGTGTGGTAGGTGAGGGGAGGTAGAGTTTCTTAGCACCCTGAAACAAAGACTGAGGGGGTCCTGAGATAAATCAACCAAGGGCAGACAGTGTGAGTGATACTCAAGCATCCTAGGCCAGATTTTCAAGAGGCTGCACATGTCCTTGTGGAATACATGATCAGCTTAAGTATCATCTCCAAGTGTGACCTCTGTGCCTCTGTTCAAACAGACCACCTCCTTCTCCCTTTCTTGCAGGGATCCTCAATAAACCCACCATCTGGGCTGAGCCAGGCTCTGTCATCACATCAGGAAGTCCTGTGACCATCTGGTGCCAGGGGACTCTTGTGGCTGCAATGTATAATCTACGTAAAGTAGGAAGCCGGCCACCCTGGGACAGCCAAACCCCACAGGAATCCAATAAGAAGGCCGGGTTCTGTATACAATCAGTGGCACAGCAACATACAGGAAGATACCAATGTTACTGTTACAGCTCTGCTGGATGGACAGAACACAGTGACCCCCTGGACCTGGTGGTGACAGGTGAGAGGACACTCTGGGGTCCCAAACTCAGGGTATGTTCTCAGGGATAGAGATCAACTATGAAAGATATCCCCTTACAACAGCCCATCCTGCAGTGCAATGCCAACTTTGTGACCCCGTTTAACTACTTGCCTTCTTCTCCCCTAGGTCTCTCCCCGTTTAAACCCAGCCTGTTACCCAAGCCTAGCCTTGTGTTAACCTCAGGAGGAAATGTGACCCTTCTATGTGTGTCACCGAAATTCAACATATTTGTTCTGATAAAAGAAGATAACTTTTCTAGCCCCCTGGACTCACAATACATACATTCAACTGGACAGTCCCAATCCCTATTCTCTGTGGGTCACAGGACCCACAGAGAGAGATGGATATTCAGATACTATGGCTATTGCATGAAAAACCCTCAGGTGTGGTCAGTTCCCAGTGAGCCCCTGGAGCTCTTGATCTCAGGTGAGGAAAACCCAAACTTTTCCTTGAGTGACATTCTACCTGGCACAGGTTCCCAGGGGTGAACCTGTTGCGTGGTGTGTGAGGGGAGTCAGTGTTCTTAAGCACATGACACAGGACATGGAGACAGCGGGAAAACAGGTACAGAAACCAAGGCCAGATAGTGAAAGCAAAACCCTGAAGGTCCAGACAGAGATGGGTCTTTATGTGACTCCGTGGGTCCTGCTCCTCAGGGATCAGCTTGGGTGTCATGAGGGGGAGGGTCTAAGGATAGACACAGAGGAAGCCAGGGAGGAGGAGGGTGTTTCACCATCTTGGGCTGGAGGCTCAGCAGACATGTAGAGGAAAATGCCCAAGGGTGTCTACACCTTTGTAAGTACCCTTCCTCATCATCATAAGCTTTGTTGGCAAGCCCAGACAAATGTCTTTATTCCCTAAACTGGAGTTTGGAGGACCAGCGTGGGTGTCATCTCCATCTGTAACCTTTGCTGTGCCACTATTCAAAAGGAGGAAAACAAGTTTGGAATTTGTTTTATCAGTCATACGGATGGTGGGAAGAGAAAGCCAGGAGCACAAGTGCCTCCCAGCAGTGAATTTGACTTACACCATACCATTGAGGTGGAAGGGGCTGAAAGACTGTAGGAGCCAGAGGTCAGGGAGGAACAGAGTAAAATTCTGTCTTCTGGATGTGCCGGGACCAGTGCACTCCTGAACTGCAGCACCTCTAGTTGCCCTCACAGGATCAAGCCAGTCAACATGACAGAATGGCAACGGGAGGGTATGCTGAGCATCCATCCTAGCTGAAGAACTGTTGACAGCTGATGACTACTGAGGGAGGAGGGTCAGTTTAGCTTAGGCATGTGTTCACTGGTTGACCTTCCATGCTCCCATGGATGGGCTACACCCACGAAGGCTTCGGTAGAACAAATGAGACTCAGCAGATAATAAGGAAGAAAAGAGGTTGGATGAGAGTGGCTTCATCAAAGAGGGAGTGGCCGGAGGAGCATGGATGAATTTGATCATATGAATTTCTCATAGGATTATTTTAATGATATAAAATTAATGTGTCGCCCTTTCCCTGTACAGAACAGGCCCCAATGGGCATTTTGTGAGACCACGTAACATGCTTCCTTTTTCCTCCTAGGATTCTGTATCAAGCCTGGTCTGTCAACCCTGCCCAGCTCTATGGTGACCTCAGGAGGGAAACTGATCCTCCAGTGCATCTCTTCATGGAGATATGACAAATTCATTCTGATCAAGGACAATCAGAAATTCTCCAGCCCCCTGGATTCACAGGATATACACAATAAAATGTCCCAGGGTCTGTTCCTTGTTGGCCCTGTGACTTCCAACCAGACTTGGAAATACACATGCTATGGCTATGACATGAAAAGCCCACAGGTGTGGTCACAATCCAGCGAACCCTAAAATGTCCCAGGGTCTGTTCCTTGTTGGCCCTGTGACTTCCAACCAGACATGAAAAGCCCACAGGTGTGGTCACAACCCAGCGAACTCACGGAAATACATGTTTCAGGTGAGGCAGTCATATCACTGACACCATAACTTCCAGACACCATAAGCCCTTTGACATGAGCCTCTACTCCCAGGAGAGTTTCAGGTGGGGTGAGGCTTATGGAAGCTCTGGGCTCCTGAGCTAAAGCATCAGAGTCAGAGACTTCAGAGTCAAGTGTGGGTGTAGGTGTCTAGGAGGAACCAGCTCCCTAACCTATAATCCATCTTCCCTCCAGGGCTGTGAAGGAAGCCCTCCCTGCTGACCTAGCAAGGCCCTATCCTGATCCTTGGAGAGAATCTGATCCTCCCAGTGTTTCTCTGACCCCTGAGCTATGACAGGAATGAGAGGGGAACTGGCCTCCTTGAGGGCTTTGCCCAGAGACCTCAGGCTGGGCTTCTCTGGGTCAACTTCTCCCTGGACCCAATGAGTGGTTCTTTGGGGAAATAGTACAGATACTAAGGGGCATGAAGACTCTTCTCTTAGTGGTCAGTCCACAATGAGACCCTAGACATCATGATCACAGATGAGAAGCCCAGCAGGTCAGGTGATGGTCAGGATAAGAGGTCAGAGTCTCAGGGAAGAAGGGACAAAGAGAGATATTAGTAATGGAGAATAATTTTGGTTTAGTATCATCTTTTTTTTTGGTCTTTTTGAGACAGGGTCTCCCTGTACCCCCAGCTGTCCTGGAACTCACTATGTAGACCAGAGTGGCCTTGAACTCACAGAGATCCGCCTGCCTCTGCTTCCTGAGTGCTGGGATTAAAGGCATGTGCCACCACTTATCTAAATTAATTTGAATATATTATTAGTAATTTATACAGAACTATTTGGAAATTTTCTCATAAAATTTATGCACATTCATGGGAATACTTATGAGTTCTTCGGATATTTTACTAATTTTTCATTAATATCTTGAGGGCTGCTTATTTTCCAAATAATTAAGAATACACAACAAAACTTTTGGTGTTGGATATGTTAAGCTCATTTTATGTTTCCATCCAAAAGTTCTCCTTTAAGCTTTTGTCCAGGCAATGATTTCTATTTACTGGTAAAGTCATGTCAATTGCAATAAGACAGAAAAATTTCTCCTTTTAAAATTTGTATGTTGACATGTATTTAATATAGGAATGGTTTCATAAAAGCATTTCATACAAGGATGCACTCTTTTCACCGTGTTCACCCTCCATCCCTCCCTTTCCTTCTGCCCACTGCCATGACCACCTTTGCCTGGGAAGTCTCATTTCCATTTGAATGTCATATGTATGTACACCTGTTGATATAAGAATATATACACATATATGTATATTATGCATTATTCTATGTATCTGTATAAAATTTAGGCTTCACAAATGAGAAAAAAATTGATAATTTGCCTTTCTTAATTTGATTTAGTTGCTTTAATATGATGATCTGCAGGAACATCTAGTTCCATGTAGTTGTTCCTGCAACTGCAGGAACATGTATGTCTGTAAGTACATGTATATTACATAAACACATACATTTGTGTCTGTAGTTAGATTTTTATATGTTGACATGTATCAGCAGAATTTCATCCCCATTAATATCATCCAGTGAGTTTTTAGTATTAAGTTCGCTGTGTAGATTTACATAACCATATATTTTTAATATTTTACTTATTATTTTTATTTTATGTGTATGAGTCTATGGCCTGCATGTGTGTAAGTACATTGTGTGTATATAAGTACATGTTGTAAAATGATCATAGAGTCAGAAGGGAGTGTTGGAGCTCCTGGAGCTGGAGTTACAGATGGTTGTTAGCTGCCATATGGGTGCTGGGAATTGAACATGAGCCCTCTGGAAGAGCTACCAGTGCTCTTAACGTCTGAGCCATCCCTCTAGCCCCCATACTTACATATTAAAACAGTGTGCATGTATGTTAGTGTGTGTCTATTCATTGTGTGTGTTTATAACTGTCATGATTAGTTAATGACAAGTTTAAGGGATGGTGACACATCATGGAATTGATACTCAGGACCCCTAAGATGCTTCACTTACCCTTCCATCCTGGATCCACAGTCAGTGAACCAGTGGAAACCCATCCAGGGGAGCTAGCTTCCATGGTCGTGTATCCCAGACAGAGCAGGTAGCATAGGGTGGCTGACTTAGTTCTCAGCTGTGAGGTGATTTTTCTCACCAATCCTGAACTCTAAGGATTTAGATAAGTTTTATTTAACGTGTCTCAGAAACAAGTTTTGACCTCAGATCAGAGAACTGAAGAATTTAATTAATATAATGGATGAAACCATGCTGACATGGGAAAAGGATACATCCTGTTCTTCATGAAGTTTTATGTTTAGACTAATACAAATTTATAGGAAAAAAAGAAATATAGGAACTAACATAAAAAACACTCAGGTCT